TTAATAAATAAATAATAATAATAATAATAATAATAATAATAATAATAATAATAATAATAATAATAAATAAATAAATAAATAAATAAATGTAAATAAAATTTAATTTAAAAAAAAAAATGGAAAAATTGCTTATTAATAAAATAAATTTTTATCGTTTTTTACTTGATGACAAAAATAAAAAAAATATTTATTAGAAAATTAAATAAATAAATAAATAAATAATGATAATGATAATGATGATAATGATAAGGGTTACCCAAAAAAAAAAAAAAAAAAACGACATTCGCGAATGTCACACGCTAATAATAATAATACGTTAATTTAAATAAAACGCAAAAAAATTATTATTACTATTATTATTATTATTAATTATTGTTATTTAAATGTAAATAAATAAATAAATATTGTTGTTCGTTGTAAATAAATAAATAAATAAATAAATAAATAAATTGCAAAAAAAAAAAAAAATTAATTTTTCTTACAATAAGAAATATATGATTGATTGATTGATTGATTGATTTATTGTTTAATTAATTTTATTTTTTTTTAAATTCGATCGATTAATTAAATCGTGTAATAATAATAATAATAATAATAATGTTATAAATGTGTTCGCAAATATAATTTAATTAAAAATATAATAATAATAATAATTTTTTCGTTTGTTTGTTTGTTAATCATCCTTTCCAATGTCTGTTTATTATAAAATGTTGCTTTTTTTTGGGGGGGGCGAGGGGGCGGGAGGAAAGAAAAGGAAAAATTCAAATCCGTTAATAATTAATAAAAATATGACGGTGTGTAAATCGTTAATTACGTCATACGTAATTATTCCGCGTAATTCCAGGTAGTGAGTCACGTGATTTTTCTTTTAATAATAATTATTCGTTGTAATAAAGATAATAAAAAAAATAAAATTGGAAATTTATTTAATTGTTTTTGTTTAAATCGAGTAATTAATTTTTATTTTTAAATTAAAAAAATAAAATTTAAAAAAAAAATTCCCGTCGCGAGATTTATATGGAAAAAAAAAAAAAAAAAATTTTTGAATTTATAACTTTCTGAACGCGCTCCGCGACTGTGAAATAACGATACGTTTAAAAAAAAAAAAAGAAAGGAAAGAAAAAACAATCGGATTTTATTTATTATTAACGATTATTAAATTAATGATATAAATTTTAAAATAATACATATAATTTAATTTTATTACTTTCCATTTTATTTAATAGTTTGTTTAAAAAAAAAGAAAAAAAAAAGAAAGAAACAAATTTAAGTAAACAAATATTATCCCGCCAAATGAATTTTATCGATTTAAAACCACGTGATCACCTCAAGTTATAAATAAACCCAGCGTCAATTTAATTGGTCTCTTTTCCTTTAAAACATCCGGTTCGATCACTTTTGAGTTTTTCATTTATTAAAATGCCAGAAAACTCGATTCGGATTAACGGATATTGCAACGGTACTAAAGGTTTCATGGATAATGAAATTGAAGAAGGAAGTACATTTTTATTTACTTCGGAAAGCGTCGGTGAGGGTCATCCTGGTGAGTTAAAAGTATTTTTTTTTTTTTTTTGTTTTTTTTTTTCTCTCTACTCTCTCAACTCTCTCGCGTGTCTCTGTGTAAGTGTGTGTGTATGTTGTTTTCATAAAAGCGTACAAATCGTCGCCTCATGTTCTTGGAAAGCGTCCGCCATTTTTATATGGTTATTCTTAAATGCAAATTAACATGTGGAAGTTTGATTTTTTATTTCATTTTCACTATGCCATTCGTTTTTGAAAGGTTACAGTAGTTGAAACAAGTAGATCGAATCAAATTATGATTTTATTTACGAACAAAACAATTTTATTTTATCATTTTAAGTCATCACGATGGATTCGAGAATCATTACCTCGTTACGGGGTTTTTTTATTTCATTTTTTTTGAAATTATCATTATTATTATAAAACGATGAAATAAATTCTCGTAAGTTTTTTATTTTTTTCATTTATTTTTATTTATGTTTTTTTTCCACGCCAAAATTTTAATTGTTTTTATTTAAAAATTTTATTAAATTACAAACTTAGGTTACGGTATGTGTGATCTCACACGATGGAAAGCGTGACTTTTAATTAACTAATGTATTATTATTATTAACATCTTTTACTCCATTTTAATACATATTTCTTTCATTTTTTTATTTATTTTAAATTATTACAGAATTGTATTGTGAAAATCATGGATGGAATAAGAAAAAAAGAAAATAAATTGTAATTATAACCCATTCTGGATACAATAAATTGATTGGGGAAAAAAAGAAAAAACAATTTTTTTTTTTTTATGTTTCATTTTATATCATTTAAAAAAAAAAAGTAATGTTTAATTATTTGGAAAATTAATTTTTTTTTTTTTTTTTTAAGATAAGAAAAATTGTTTAATCATTCTTGATAATTGATTAAATAGTTTTTTTATTACATTGTAGATTTTTTATTATTCGAAAGCATGGGATTTTATATCGTTCATATTTTCCAAATATTTTAAATGCAATACTCGTTGACTCATTATTGAAAATTATAATTGTTTCCTTTGACTTTTTTGCATGATTAATAATAATAATAATACTTAAAAGAATGTTATTTGCAATTAAATTGATTAAAATAAATAAATAATGAAATGATGTTGTTTTTTTTTCGTAGATAAAATGTGTGACCAAATAAGCGATGCTATATTAGATGCACATTTAAAACAGGATTCAGATGCTAAAGTCGCTTGCGAAACTGTAACCAAAACTGGAATGATTTTAATATGCGGTGAAATATCATCAAAAGCTGTTGTAGATTATCAAAAAGTTGTCAGAGATACTGTCAGACATATTGGTTACGATGATTCCTCAAAAGGTAATTTGCAAATTTTTACAATCGAACAACCCATCATTATCAATATTGTTTGGTTAATGTAAGAATTTTTTTAGTTTTTTGTTCTTGTTAGCATGATTATTGAATTATTATTATCATTATTATAATTTAGCATTTTTAACTTTGGAATGTGACTAAGAGATTTACTTTGAGTTAATTTGGGATTGTTATTTCACGTTGAATATCGATTTCCAATCAATTGGTTTTCTGTCGCGACAAACGATTTAACTCGAATGAATTGTTAATTTTAATGTTATCGATATTATGAAATATCTATCATGGACACATTGAGTTAAATGTTTACTTAAGAAAGTACAAAAAATAATAATAATAATAATAAACTCCATATTTGAATGATGATGATGAAGAATATTTTTGTATTAAACTCGAATGAAAAAAAGAGAGAAATTACGAATGAGAAAATTGTGACTTTGAAAATTAATTAACTATTATAATAACAACTGATAAGGTTATTATAATTGTTAATTATGGATTATTTAAATAAATTATTTAAATAATGAGGTAAAAAATGTTTAAATTATTGTTTTTTAGCTTCTTTGTTTGCAATCAGTCAATCGTTTGGGTGGTACCCCTGTTCCTAGGAGTTGCGTATATGATTGTGAATACAGAATTCTAATAAAAGTTTTTTAAGAGGTCATGCAAAGGTTCACAATAAGAATGAGGGATCATCGGCCAAGAAGTGCACAGACATACCAATCAATAAGAAAATTATAGTGATTTTAACATTAATAATAATAATAATAATAATAATAATAATTAGGATTAGAAAATAAATTTTTTTAGGCTCTTAATAATAATATTAAATGTCGAGCCAGAAAAAATTTATTTTTAATTGTTTTTTTTTTTGATTGTAATTAAAAATGGCGAATGATTAATAAGTAATCAAATGGGGGGAAATGGGGCGGAGCGGGGGGGGGGAATGTTAAATTTAGGATTAAATATTAATTTAAGATAAGTTATTACACCGTGTGGAAATTTTTTTTTTTTTTTTTTTAATATCAAGTTTGTTTAAAATGATGTAACGAAACGTTATCTTGTAGGAAACTTGTAAAAGGGGGTACGAGGTAGGGGAAGGGGGGTACACGGTGAGGTACTAGGTAAGGGATATGGAATATGGGGGGAGGGGGGGGAAATTTCGAACCGATCGTTCAATATTTATTTATTTCGAAGTTGAAAATTTTTTTTTCTTGTTTTTGTTTTTTTTATTTTTTTTTTTTTATATGCCGCGCACATCTTTTCATCTTATCACTGATAAAAAAAAACTTTATTTTATTTACAATAAATAATTTATTTAATGCGTTACATAAAAATCGTCAAAATGGAGGGGAGGGGGGAAAAAAAATTAGGCTTAGACTCGTTGAATCCACACGTTCAAAAAAATTTATTTTAGAAAAAAAAAATGATGTAAATTAGATGATTTGCAATTATTATCATTATCATTATTATTATTATTATTATTATTATTATTATTATTATTATTATTATTGTGATCGTAGTTTAAAAGAAACGGCAGCATCTGTGTCAACAGATTATTTTATTGTGCTGTCTCACGTTAACACACTTTGCTGTCGAATTTTATTATTTTTCTTCATTTTCATTTTGTGTCTCTGTGTCTGTGATTTTCTTTAAAAAATGGAAATCGGTATAATATTTTTCGTTACGGTATTATTTATTTACATATCGATCTATGTATTCGTTTATTATTTTTCATTAATGCGACAAACCGTTTAGAAAACACAAATCGAATCAGTAAAAGAAAAAAAGAAAAAAGGAAAAAAGCACCAACAGAGTGTCTGTCGTCGTCTTCGGGTAAAATTATTTATTTTAAATAATGCTGTTGTGCACTTATTATCACATTTGAAATTTTAACTTGTGCTCTTAGTTTAGCCCCCCTTCCCTCCCTCCCCCCCAAAAATGGAAACGATGGTAACTCGTTTTGTTTAATTGTAATAATCATTTTTGTTGGTGTTGTTTGTTTCAGGTTTTGATTATAAAACTTGTTCAGTTTTACTTATGATCGACGAACAATCATCAAACATAGCTGCCGGAGTGCATTTAAACAGAAACGAAGAAGAACTTGGCGCGGGGGACCAGGTAAGAAACACCACCACCACCACCACCATCATCATCATCATTGATGTAAAAACAAACGGGGGGAAATAGGAATCGGGAAAGATTTCAATTACGGTTTTTTTTTATTAAATTGCTCCTCTGCTGTCGTCGTCGTCGTCGAAAAATAAAATTTAAATAATTATAATAATAATAATAATGATAAATTTAAACAAGAGAGTAAATGAGTCTGAAGAACAATGGCGTTAATTGTTTCTCTCTCTCTCTCTCTCTCTCTCTCTCTTAATACAAGGTTACCATTAAAAATGCATAAAATATTTTTTTTTGTTTGTTTGTTTGTGTGTATTGTCTTGGTTGCACGAGTACACATATTAATTTTTGTTTTTCTTTTTTAAATTAGGGTTTAATGTTTGGATATGCGACAGACGAAACGGAAGAATGCATGCCGTTAACGGTTGTTTTAGCTCATAAACTAAATCAGAGAATTGCCGAATTGAGACGAAGCGGAGAATTTTGGTGGGCACGTCCCGATTCGAAAACTCAAGTGAGTATCAAAGCGGGTACCACCACCGTCACAAAAGAATGATGTTCTTCGATTCGAAAGTATTAATGATGATGATGATGATGACGATGATTTCAGGTAACGTGCGAGTACATGTGCGATCACGGAGCTTGCATTCCGAGACGAGTTCACACGATCGTCGTATCCGTTCAGCATTCGGAAAAGATATCCCTTGCGGATTTGAGAACGGAAGTCATGTCGAAAGTCGTCAAACACGTCATACCGGAAAAATACATCGACGAGAAAACAATTTTCCACATAAATCCGTGCGGATTTTTTCTCATCGGGGGACCACAAGTACGGAATTTATCATTCATTTGTTTTGTTTTGTTTTGTTTTGTTTGTTTGTTTGTTTTCGATGATGTTTTGTCATTGCTACTATTGAAAATTTGTGATTAAAACATATACCATTCACTGAGAGAACAAACAACAAACAGAAAAAGAAAATCAATAGATTTTTAGGTGAAAATTGCAGACGGTAAAAATTTTTTTGTTTGTTTTTTTCACAACAGGGAGATGCTGGACTGACCGGGCGAAAAATAATCGTTGACACGTACGGTGGTTGGGGAGCACACGGCGGAGGTGCATTTTCCGGAAAGGATTTTACAAAAGTTGACAGGTAAAGGCAGAAAAAACAATCGGACGTTCGAGTGGTTTCCATTCCTTTCGGCAACGGTAAAAATGTCTTTTTTTTTCGTTGTTGTGTTTAGATCTGCGGCGTACGCTGCCAGATGGGTTGCCAAAAGTTTAGTTAAAGCTGGTCTTTGTAGAAGATGTTTGGTTCAAGTGTCGTATGCCATCGGCGTAGCCGAACCCCTTTCAATAACTCTCTTCGATTACGGAACGTCGAGCCTTTCACAAAAGGAACTTTTAGACGTGGTGAAAAAAAATTTCGACTTGCGTCCGGGGAGAATAGTCAAGTGAGTTGATGTCGATAAAGTTTTTCTCCCATTTTTTTCACACACACCCCGGCCCTTCCCTCCTTTCTTCCTCCCTCCCTCCCTCCTCTCCCCCTCCCCGCCCATTTTGTCATTTTGTTATTTATTTTTTTTTATCAATTATTTTCAAATTTTCAGAGACTTAAATTTAAAAACTCCATTTTACCAAAGGACTAGTACTTATGGACATTTCGGCCGAGATGGTTTTCCATGGGAACAACCGAAGTCTCTGATTCACTGATGACAACAACAACAACAACCAAAACGCTTTTTAATAATTTAACAAAAAAAAAAAAAAAAAACAAACAAACAAACAAATAAACAATTACACAATGTGAAAGATTGGAAGGATGGAAGAAAGAATGAAAGAAAAAAAAAAAAAAAGAAGATGGAGGAGAGGAGTTTGAAAATCACACACACGAGAGGGAGAGAGAGGGAAAATAATAATAATAATAATAATAATGATAAAATAGGGCCAATATCACAGTGTATACATTTCTTACATTTTGATAACAAAATGAAAAATACGCGTGTGTGTGATTGCGTGAGTGCGTGTTCGCGTGTTCCCCTCTCTCTCTCTCTCTCTCTCTCTCTCTATTTGATATTGGCAAATAATAAAATTATAATTATTATTATTATTATTATTATTATTATCACGATAGTATTTAATAAAATTTTAAGGAGGAATAATAATAATAAAAAATTTAAAACATTGTTTAATGTGAGACACATATTGTTATGAATTTTAATATTATTATTATTATTATCACTTAGTCAATATTATTGATGAATTGGTTTTTCCCACGAATAGATTTTTTTTTTTACTTATGTATACATACATATATATATATAAATATTAGTGTGACGTCACGAAGGAAAGCAAAGAGAGAAAATTGTCATTTTACTACTACCACCATTATCGTTTTTATTTAAATTAATTAATTAATTAATTTTTTGGTTTTAATTTTAAATTAAAAATGGAAAATGAAAAGAAGAGAAAATGCAGAAGAAAAAGAAAAGGAAAAAGGAAAATTTTTTATTGTCGAAATGATGTGGAAAATCCGCAATCGGTATCAGAGTCCCCAATGGTTCGACGCATATCGTCGTCGCTGCACATCCAAAGCCATGAACCCAACCAAGAGAGTACGTGTGGTACACGTGCTGCATTGCAAATTAAAGCACGTGCACGCACGCGTGTACCATATTGTAAATTGTACGTGAAGCAAAAGGAAGGCGGAGAAGGAAGAGGAGGAGGAGAACTTGATCGAAATAATTGTTTGGTAGTCGGAAAAATTGAATGATGATAATGATGATAGTTAGCTAGCTAGCTAGCTACCCGGTTTTTCTTTTCTATACCTTTTTCAAGCTAAAGTTTTTCGTGTGAAATTTATTTAAATGATAATAATAATAAATTTATGTAAAGTGTCTCGCACGCAATGTTTATTTATTTATTAATTAATTAATTAATTGATTGATTACATTTTAATTTTTTTTTATTTTTATTCAATCACTCATTCATTCACTCACTCGAATTCATTTTGAAAATGTTTTTTTTTAAATGATTGATTGATTGATTGTTTGTTGTTGTTGTTGTTAAGTAGTGCGAAAACTCGTACGTGTTTGTCATCAATCAATCGATAAATGCATTAAATTATTATTATTATTATTATTATTGTTATTATTATTAATTCAATTTAGTAGAGTTTAAATTGCTCTTCCTTAGTGTGATTAGATAGATGTATGTATATGTATGTGTAAGTTTCGAGAAGGTTCTATTATCCAAAATTAAAAATTTTTTTTTTTTTTTTTTTTTTTTTGTTAATAATAATAATGATAATGATAATAATAATAAAATACCGTCGGCTCATAAATTGAAATGTTTTTTTTTTTATTATTATTTAAAAAAGTTTGTACGTTTGTGTGGGTGCGTGCGTGTGTGTGTGCCTGTGTTGCATGAAAATATTTTAAAATCATTATTATCGTCATCACGATAATGATCGTCATTATAATTTTTTTTTTGTTTATAATTATAATAATAATAATAGTAATAATTATGAAGAACTGAATGGATTTTTTTTTGTTGTTTTTATTGTTTTTGTTGTTGTTTTATTATTATTATTATTATTTTGTTTGTTTGTTTGTTTGTTTATATGTGGTAAACACATTCGCCAACAATCATTATTTAATTTGTTGTTAAATGTTTTGGCATATTTTTGCCAATTTCTATTCTTGCACTCTAACTTTTGGTTTATTTATTCTTATTATCATTATCAGTGTGTAGAAACTGGTCTCTCTCTCTCTCTCTCTCTTTTCTCTCTCTCAGCATCCCTCAAGTACAACCCTTAGAATCAAGTTAATTTGTAAGGGATAAGTTTGTGGATAGTTGTTTCAATGATAATAATTAATAAATGAAAGTAATTCGAGAAACGATTCTAGTGACACGTTGAAATGATGGGGCATGATGCCACAATAAAGGAAAATGATGGGGTGACGTTTAAATTTTATCCTCCATTTTGTTTTTTATTCCTATTTACAGAAAGAAACGGATTTTTTTTTATTTTATTTAAATTATTATAAAAACGTTAATCCATTTTTATTGTCGTTTTTGTCGTCTGCTGCCCCCCTGCACTCCCCTCCCCTCGCTTCTTTTTTCTGTGGTTTTCTCTCTCGTTGCCACGTCATATGTGAGAAAAATGAGGAAATTTTCATGATCATAAGCACGAAATCGATAATTATTGATCGATTGGGTTTTTTAATAAGGAAAAATTTTATTGAAAATTGATCGGCCCGGATGTTTAATCAAACAATTTTCTTTTTTTTTTGTTTGTTGGAATAGTTGATTGGAATACACGTGGAAAAAGGATTCCAGTTTGATAAAATTCCAGTAAAATTCTACGTTTGATTTTACGTTTGCTGTAAAAATAATAATAATGATAATAATAATAATAAATTTTTTTATTAAGAAATTGTCCTTGTTGTTTTTATTATTATTATTATTATTTTGTAATCGAAATTTTTAAAAATGTCTGTAGTTATTATTATTATCGATATGGATTTTTTTAAAAATAAATACAAAATGAAAATATTTAAAATAATTTTTTTTGAATTTCCCCCCCCTGTCCCCCCCGTTCCCTGTTTAAAAATAAAATAAAATAAAATTTAAGGATTCGACGAAATCATTTGGATACGTGAGTTTGTTTTGTTTGGTTCTTCTTCGCAACCTTCTTTAAAACGACGCCATTTTTAAGTTTTGTTATTACGTCATAAGTACGTATGATGACGTAGTTTATCTCTTTTAATAAATTATTAAGTTTAAGCAAAAAAATAACAATTTAATAACATTTCGCGAATAATTTCATTTTTTTATTTAATAATAATTAATAACAAGGTTTTTTTTTGTTTTATTTAATAATATATAAGGTGAAAAGGAAATCTCAAGTGAATTTTTTGCATTAGGTAGCAAGTTTTGGCGCCGTCATAAATCAAAATGGCGTCTTTTATGTGCATGTCAAACAGTTTTTTGTTAATCTTGCAAGAAAAAAAATTTTTTTACATGGTGTAAGTTAGTTAATCTTTATTTAATTTATTATAATTGATATCATTTATTATTAATAATAATAATTTTCTTTATTTAAAAGTCATAATAATAACCATTGTTCGTTTTTTGAACTCGAATAAAATGAGTCTGTTTGTCTATTCATTCCGAGGTTAATATTAATAATCAGATGAAAATGAAAATGTTAAGAATACAAAAAAAAAAAAGAAGGAGAAGCAAATTTAAACGAAAACATTTATTCGTCGATTGTTAAAGATTAAATGTTCTGTAAATAAATATGATATTAACACGAATTTGATATACCTTCAACTATTCATTATAACATAAGTCAAAAATTTATTATTATTATTATTAACTATAATTATTTTGTTAGTCTTTATTTGTCGTATATAATAAAATAATTTGAATTTATTAATGATAATAAATTTTACTTGAACATTTGTTTTATAAATAATAATAAAAAAGTCACGTTTTTATGAATTTTTATATTGCAAACATATCAATTGGTTTTATAACATAACCTTATAAAAATTGTTATGGACCTCGTTCTTCGAGGAAAACGGTGTTGCTGATTTGTAGTATGCTCGCAGTTGATTCGGATATTTAATATAATAAATAGACGATTTCTACCTGATGTATTATATTAACCAAATATACTACTAGTTACACTACTTTATCAGTAAAAACACTAAGTACAATATAAGCGGAAGTAGAATGTGATGCTCTTGAATCCAACCTAAGATGCACTGACTGACGGACTGATGTCGAAAGACCAAGATGTGGTGCCGAGGCCCACTATTTATATGAAGACCAAAACAATCGATGCATCTGTTGCACTTGAAGAAGTTAATTAGTCAATCATCCCCTTCTTAAGGGATGAATATAATCCTTGCTCGTTAATCCAACTTAATGGGAAAAACGTGATCTTAGAACTTTGAGAGAACAAATAAATGTTCACATTAAATAAATCATATTAATATTAAACAGATGCCCTCGTTGGTGATCAGATTTCGTTGGGATCACAACAAAATTTTGTTTTATGATTTCATTCATTTACTGTTAAAATATATGTAAGATGTTATTAAACACCCCTCCCCACATGTAGATACCTACCCTTCTTTTGTTAATGTAGGAGAAATGAATTTGCACTAACTTCCCCATCAAGGAGTTGGGAGAGTGTAACAAGCCACATTTGAACATGCTACAAGAGGAAGAGAGGAGGACGTTTAAGGGAGTGAAAACCTGTATTTAAGTCACAATTTCAGAACAGAATATTGCGGTTAACAGTGAGGATCGGGGCCCCCTATCGCAGGAGCAATCACTTTTAGAAGAGGATAGATGTAGGTGCCTTCTATTGAAAGAACTCTTCCCTTTTGTGCCCTACAGACAGCAGCAGTCTGTCAAATGGTTCTCTCACAAGTCTGGGAGCTTCTGGAGATGGAGTAACATCTGCACAGGACATATTTCTCATCTGTCTTCCCAGTAGTCCTTCCAAGTTGCATCTCTGCTTCTGAACACACCAAGATATTGCAAAGAAGTAATGTGTGAGACATACAACATGGAACTCACATCTCCAGGAGCATCTGCTGAACCAGATCTTCAAGTACTTAAATCACAGACCCCCCAACAACCAGCAGAAACCTTTGCTATGTTATTTTATCTTAAAATTTTACTTTTGTTTATAA